CAACCATTGTGCTATCTATCCATGGGATTGCAGAAACTGAACTTAAGTATTCAGCACCCTCAAGTCTGAATGGTCTCCTATGACAAAGGCAAGTGTTGGAGAGTTCTCAGAGGATGGTGGAGGGTTTAAAAGCCAGGAGCTCAGTGTCAAGTCTCTTAGCATCTGGTGTGGGTCCTCCCTCCCCTGTTACCTCCAGAACCTGTGCTAAGGAGCACACCCCCCCCCCCCCCGCCCCATCACCGAGGGTGGGGAACCGTGTTCCCATCTCTGATTCACATCTTGGGAGTCTGCCTCTTCCAGAAAGCACCCTCAAGCTGTTTGCTAAATTTAGGGCTACAGGTTCAGAAGACAAATGGGAGGCTGAAGGCGTATATCCTTTTTAAATACCCACGCTCCTGCAGCTGTCCCTCAGTGCCAAAAGCAGAGCCATGGAACCCTGGAAAAGCCCCTCCACACAAATGGCATCGTCAGAAGTTCCTGAATTCTGATTTCTAGTGACTGTTTTCTTAACTTCCTTTTTCCTGACATCAAAAATCACTAGCTCCATGACCAGATCCTAACTAGGGCTCCTGGCGTCCTCCCCTCCCCTCCCCCACCCTCATGGGGCTCTGAAGCACGACAAGGCAGCAGATGCCACCCTGCGGCAGAGGGAAGGCCTGCAGTGTTTCCGCTCCACTTCGAGAAGATTCAGACTGTTTGGTTCCTATTTGGAGGAAAAGGTAAGTATCTGTCCTCAATCTTGAAAAGAGAATTAAGAGGCCCTTTAAAATGTCAAGCTAGGAGGGAAGCAAGGTTAATTCTATCAAGAGTGGCTCTTTGGGCGCCTGGGTGGCTCATGGCTTGAGCCTCTGCCTTTGGCTCAGGTCATGATCTCAGGGTCCTAGGATCAACTCCCGCATCGGGCTCTCTGCTCAGCAGGGAGACTGTTTCTTCCTCTCTCTCTGCCTACTTGTGATCTCTGTCTGTCAAATAAATAAATCTTTTTTTTTTTTTAAGACTTTATTCATTCATTTGACAGACAGAGATCACAAGTAGGCAGAGAGGCAGGCAGAGAGAGAGGAGGAAGCAGGCTCCCCACCGAGCGAAGAGCCCTATGAGGGGCCCCTCCAGGACCCCGGGATCATGACCTGACCTGAAGGCAGAGGCTTTAACTCACTGAGCCACCCAGGCGCCCCCAAATAAATAAAGCTTGGGAAAAAAAAAAAGAGTGGCTCTTTATTGCCACAGTGACCTACAAGCTGTCACCTTCCAGAGGCCCCATGTTTCTCCCATTGGTTGACCCATACCTTCTCAGGTGTTGGCGAGGATTTGTTACTAATCCCTACCTTGCTTAAAGTTCTCATGTGACATCAAGAAGCTAAAGGCTACAAAAACTAAGATGGTCTGAGAGGCCCCACCTTTCCCATTGCTGCTCTTACTATTTTGAGAAGAGTCACATACCCCAGGCTGTAAGAAAAAAAATCACACACTCTCGCCTGCACTGTTCTCAACCCAAAGGCAAGGTACAGAGGACAGCATAGATGCGGCTGCCCCCACACCCACCTGAGCAATGCGCGTTCACCCAACGTGCACCCCAGGCCCAAGTCTGGAATATGCCCACTTCTTTCCCACTTGTGCTCAACTTCTCTAGTGCCCCACTTCCTTTCACCTTGATAGACTTTCCTACTGCAACTCTGTGGGGAGCTCTCTGCCCACACGTGGGCACAAAGAGCCCTGGTTTCAGCAATGGCCAGTCCGAGTTCTGAGTATCTCCTCCAACTCTCCAGCTCACAAGCACCCTTAGGAAGGGGAGGAAAGTCCTAGGGATAATTCTGGGTAACTAGATCCCTCCGATTGCCCATTGCCTCCCTCCTGCAGATGTACACAACTTCCCACCCACTCAACATGCTCCATCACCTGGCAGAGAGGGGATACCATCGCCTCCCCTGTAAGCCCCACCTTCTAGAACTGGCTCTAGGCTCTACTGACTCAAGGTTTCTATTTTCAGGTCTCTCCTAAAAGCCTTGTTTTCTTGTGTGTCTGTGCCTCTAGATTCCCGGCTCTCATTTTCAGCTTAGTTCCATCAGTAGTAGCCTTGACTGTAGTAGGGCCTCAAAAGGTCAAGCAGGGTTGGTTCCAGTAGGGCCAGCACTGGCTACCTAATCCCAACGCGACTCAGACATTTCGCAGATGACAGAGTCTATGTATCACATGACTTAGAGAGGAGCGGAGGCAGCAACACAGGATGCAGAGGAAATCAAGAGGCAGCCTTTGGTGCTACGGTCTTGAATTAAGAGAGACTTCGTCACCAAGTCTTTGTTGAGCACCTACAGAAAATTAACTACACAGGTCAACTACCCTGTACAATACTATTCAATCAGTCAATAATGGAACTAAAAGAAAACGAGTACACAGCACACGAGGCCATGGTAGGCCATGGGACTATATAAAGAGTCCAAGACTCAGAGTCTACCTTTGGGGCGCTTATGCTCTTCTGGTGCCACTTGTGTGAGGTAAACAGAGCAAAAGCTTAAGAATGTAATTATATAATTTGGATCAAAAAGAGTTTAAAAACAAACGCAATACTTCTCTTTCCTGACTTCCCCATTTCTATAAATGGTGCTATCATTCAAAAGCTCGCTCTGCCCCCATGCCCAGGCATCCGGATTTGAACCCCCCATTGCTGACTCCTTCCTTCTCACCCACTTCCAGAAGCCCAGGGTCCTTTCCTTCTCAACGTCTTTTTAAATCTCTCCCTTTCTTACCCCTGCCCTCATGCCTCCTTACTTCTTCACCTGCTTCCAGAACTTCTGCTCCTTGGCATCCTATACAAAACCCCTATATTGATCCTCCTAAAAACATGGATTTCACCAGGTACAGTAAGAATGGGGACCTGATAATTGTCAAAATTTAAACTTCCTGGGCTGGAATTCAAGCTTTTCCAGAATTTGGTTCTAACTTCCCTGCTTTCTCTCCCACCACACTCCTACAGGAGCTCCCTGAAGTCATCAAGAGACAGTCCATGGCAAGGAGAATCTGGGATGGGTCTTAAAGCATTTAGTTGAGCAAAGGGGGACAGGGCTTCTGGGGAACGAGAACGGAGTGTACTGGGGGGACAAGAACACCTGACTTACCACAGCAAGGAGACTCTCGGGAAGCCACAAAGAGGCGGCAGTAGGTGTGCAGCAGTGGAACGACTGGATTATACAGAAATGCTCTTCTGGGAGCAGAATGCAGAGTGGACAGAGGGGAGGTAGGGAGACACTTGAGGCACTGAGCCAGCTAAGGCTTCTATAATTCTGGCAAACCATGGAGTGACAAGGACCTAGACTAAGATAGTGCTAAACCAAACACTGGTTCATTCAACAGATAAAGTTCACGCCAGTAAGTCATAAGAACTGTGAAGGCGAACAGAACAACGGGTAAGAATGGAATCTTAAAAAGAGAAAAGAATGGAAAGAATCTTAACACCACCTCTAATGTCAATTTAAGTAATAGGAAAAGGCCAGTCTCAGCTCCAGGGTCTACAGATCCCATCCCACTCTCTGACTCACCACTTCCACCCTCCCTCAAAACCAAGCCTGTCCTTCTCCTATTTCAAAATATAACTCTAAACCTAGCCTACTCAACTCAGCTTAGGTCAAATTACTCCTACGTCCCCCATTATTATCTATGAATCAAATCGATTCCAGCGCAGTTATATCTGGTTGGATGGCACTGGGCAAGTGGTTTGATTACAGTCAGGGTGTCCTCTTTTTGCGAAATTGTGACAGTAGTACCTACTTCCCGAGGATACCTGATGAATGAATTAAATGAGTATCTTTGGAGCACTGTGAGCTCCTTGAAGAACAGTTCCCTATACACGGAGGACTTTATGACCTGCCTGCAACTGCAGATTTTGCAAACATAACCTAGGTTCAACCACCTGAAGGGGGTGGTTTCTTATTAAGAAAGGTCAGGAAAAAAAAAAAAAAAGAAAGGAAGAAAGGTCAGGCCATTGGAGGAAAGAACCATCGCCTGCAACAGCTCTGGATCTTGCACAAGGCCGTCTCCAGGCATCCTGTCTTAACACTCCGTCTAATTTGTCTTCACTTAAAGAGGCCTCCAGGGGCCTCTTCTAAGCCCATAAGAAAGTTAATTTATTAACCCTTCAGCAGAGTACTGTGTGCTAACAAGGTCAACACGTATTTCCTTAATAGCAGTATGAATTAGCAATTAAAGCTACAGGCCGCTGTGACTACGGCACTAGGCTGTGCTCCTCAGCTTTGCCCGGAACGTTACCTACAAATGACTAGCGAAGATGTTCAAGTGTGTGTGTCCCCAACACGGACATCACCAAACCTTGGACACTGCAGGAAAAGGGTAGAACTGTTCTTTATCCCTTTCTGGATTCTTCTACTTCAAACATCCTGCCTGCGCGAGGCGGCCACTTGTCAAATACAAGGTCGCAATTCTGAAGCTGTATATGCTCAGCGGCACCCACACCGCTCCCGGAGTTTCGGCCCAAATCCTGAGGCACTGGCGCCCCGGAGTCACGGCGGCGCGCGGCCCCACCACAATGTCCCCAAATCGTCGATGCCGTGTCAGCCGGAAGCACTTGGCCGCCGCTTCCCCGGAGCCCGCGGAGGCCCGGACAGGACCGGAGCTCACGCCGCCGCGCGCCGAAGTGGGAGGCGGCGCCGGGCGGGGGCCGGGACGCCCTGCTGGGGAAGGGGCGTGATCACGGAATGCTCGCGGCGAAGGCGAGCCCAGGCGCGGGCTGCTAGGCGACGCCGCCGCGGGCCCCTGAGCGCGGAGTGGGGCGGAGTGGGGCGGAGTGGGGCGGAGTGGGGCGGAGTGGGGCGGAGTGGGGCGGAGTGGGGCGG